CTTTTGAGAAAATGGAATGCTTTTAGGTCTGCCTTATAGTGCGGAATATAAGGTACGTAAATTGATGAATTGGTGTATTGCTCTTGCTCTCTCACTCTCTCTGTATTTTTTAGTGTTTTGAGACCTTAAAAAAACAAGTCTTGTAAATACTATATAAACACGCCTATGAAGTAATTAAATAGGAGATTTTTCCGAATTGCGGGTTTTGCTTATTGCGAAGGTAGTCGTCACGTAACCCCCAGTGATAGAGGAGGACTATTGTATATACTCTTTTCTCTTTTGCTGAGGATTTCAAATCACCAAAAGGGTCTCACCGGTTGTCTGGTGTGAGATCGCAGCAAGCCACAGCCAGCGGAAAGAACGCTGGCGGACAGTCTTCAGGGAGGAACTTCTCCACAAACTTTCCCACGTTCAGACCGAAGTCTAGAGTTCTGGGAAGACATTCTGGATCTGCGTAGACCTTTCCGATGATCTGGATCATAGGATATGGGAGTGAGGGTCCATAATTGACAAGTATCACAGCTTTAGGATTCTTCGCTTAAACCTCAAAGTTCAATTCTCACCTCACAAAGAACAATTCCATAGGAGAAAATGTCCACCTTTTCATCATAGCGTTTACCTGAAAAACAATTCAACATGAGACTTAGCAACCTCGCTTGCGCTTTAGAGACAACAGGTCAGTAGTTTGTTGCACAACGCACCATTTAGCATCTCTGGGGCCATCCAGTAGGGGTTTCCAACCACGGTATACCTTTTTTTCCGGTCAGAACGTCGGAACACCCTCTTCTTGGTGGAGCTTTTTTCAGGTGATGGCTTCACTTTCTCTTCTACGATGAGTCGCGACAGTCCGAAGTCAGCAACGACCACGGTGTTGTCCTATTGACAGATTCATTTGGAGTCAAATGCTGTGAATTTGTCACTGGAGGGTGCTTACGACACTTTGCCACTTACCAGTTTAACCAGGCAGTTGTGAGAGTTGAGGTCTCGGTGTATGATGCTCATAGAGTGAAGATAGGACTGAAACCAAGACATTTTTTGGGGGGGGGGGGGTCGGAAAAAAAATTTCAATGAAATAACTTAAAATGTGCATATCAAGGATGTTTCTAATAAACATACAAAATGGACATGTTGAAGTAAGTTTACAATGTGTTTCAAGAATCAGTGAATTTTTAAAGGCAACAGAGCTAATGGCAATGAAATGATTGCAGTGTACCTTTAAGCGCATGGTACATTTGCATTACAATTAGG